TTCTGCATGGAAGCCCACAGAACCATAGTCAAATCAGGACCCTAAACTGTCACCCAGGCAGATAACCTGAGGGAGTTATTGTAGTCTCTCCCAGTTCCTCCTTCTGCTTATCAATGCTAGCTGGAACCACCTTCATGTTATCCTGTCTGGGTCTCAGCCAAACAGCTTCACCCTCATTCTTGTCCTTCAAGACACAGAGGGAGTAGGGAGATGGTATAAACTGTTAAGAGCACGCATTGGATTTGCTAGTCTATTTTTTGTGAGGCTGCCCAAATCATCACACTATAAAGGTTATAAAAATAACATAGCAGTAACAAACTCTTTGGAAGGTTCTGTTTCTCATTCATACATCTGACTTGATTAACTCACAAATCGTGACAGTTTGCTATAAACTAATGAATGAACCACTAACTTGGGACACGATTCGTTGGGATAAAGCTATTTTCTATATGCTTGATTAAGCTTTGATAATGCTCTAGCAGAAAGAAAGCAGAAGCAGACCCTCTTGGGAAGTGATAAATGCCAGAGGCTGAGGGGCATCCTGACAGTTTCAGCAGAGCTATGAGTTCTCTCCCTGGGAGGAATAAAGAGCCTTGGTGAGTCTGGGAGGCTGGAAAAGGGAATTCAACTCTAGCAACATCTATAACCAGGAGAAATATCTGTGGATCGGATCCAACAATCTAGTTTCCACCAGCACTGCACAAAACCAGAGAAATAAATATTTTCCACAGTGGGTCTAATCTTTGATTTAAAAAACAAGATTAATTTGATATGGAGGCACGTAAAAATCAGCCTATCCTTAATCAGTAACAGAGCAGTTGCAGAACTGTCTACTAAGATTTGCAATTTGAGTTATGAATCATATGGATACCAAAAAAACAGACCCACAAGAAAGTATTTCAAGCTAGGCAGCAGAAACATTCAGGAGATACTAAAACAAGAAACAACCATTTTCTGCTAGCACAGACACAGCCCAAAGCAAATGACAAGAGAATACCATTCTTTCCCTTTTATCCACTAAGTAGGGCAACTGCCCTTCCTCCTCCTTTCCCCACTTCATACCGGATTGGCACTTAGCATTCCCGACCATGAACAACAGATACGTGGCAGGAGGCTGTACCTGCCTCAGAGACTTTACCTTATTTCCATAACCTCTGGGGTTTGGTGCTGGTGCTTTAAGAATTGTATCTTATCTAAAAACCAGACATGAAGAATCTTATTATAGGCATCTGTGCAAATACACATGCCTTTTCATAACCAGTGAGCTTGCTACAGCCGGATTTCAAGGGCAAACTGGAGGGAGACTCGTAGCTCCCCGGGGAGTGGTTAGGTAATTCCCTGCAGCTGTGCTGAGTGGGTCCTGAAGAACCCTCTGTAGATTAGGCAACTGATTTATCACATTTCCTTACAGCTGTGACTGATGCAGTGGTTTAGGCTGCCCAGTCACACCTGTGTTTCTGCTGCTTCTTTTGATGGTGCTGTCCATTTTGAAAGTTAAAACTGACATTCCACCAAGCAATAGCAAGTATTTAAGGTCTTCTCAGCCAATAAAAAACAAATTACAGAGAACATGAGTCCAATCCACATTTGATTTGCTTTATTTGCATACAAACTGCAGCCTGGAACAGACATCATCACACTTGCTTCCTCCAGCCAATAGTATCCTGTTACCCATGTGTCCTTTGGCCTCAAAAAATTGCTTGTAATTAGATATCAACGCAGAAACCAAGCCCTTCTGTATCTCTTCATAGATTCCTATTTCCAGGGACTTGTCTAACCAAAACCAACTGTGACATGGGCTGACCTCCCTCTCTGCAAGAATAAAAATAACTCAGAAGATTATATGTATCAGTATTATGTGGTGGCAGCCACCATAACAATATTATATATCACGTTCCCCGCATCTTTCCTCTAAAGGTTTTGCTGTCTCTGTATCATTCTCTCTTGAATGGATTACTGGGCAAAATGCTGCTTCTCATCAGCATTTTTCAAGTTCTTCCACTATAAAGAAAGTCCACTAGAGCTTAAAAATTACCTTTGAACTTTTTTATCATCACCTTGTCCACTACATAAATTCTCTCCTGTAGCAGCACCATCGTATCTCCAAAAAACAGTGATAGAAGATATCACAAGACATGGTAATTTTAGATTTGATAAAACAGACACACATATCCACCCCAGGGACATTTTTAAACATGCCTGTGAATAAGTTCTCATACTCCCTGCACTGGTGGGGAAAAAAATGCAGTTCCAGGAGAGATACAAACTTTGTCCTCCTTGGTCTTGTGTTGTGGGAGACTTACACAGGATCCCACAGGGTTCCCAAATAATCCAGCACTTTTGTAAGCTGGAACTGTTTCCAGGTATTTATTAACCATCACTACACCTCATGGAGTTGCCAAGTGTGGTTCCCTTTTCACTTATGTGGAAAGTGACTGGCTAGCTGATCAATTTAAGGTCAGCAAAGGAGTCAGGCCTGAGAATGTCTCAAAATTATTCACACCACCAGATCTTTTGTCCCAAATCCACGGGAGTAATGCTTCCCCATGGCAGTGAATACCTGCCACTGTATTCTGATGCTACTACTGAAATCAAATAGAAAGCTTTAACTTATATGGAACTGCTCCCCTGCTTATCCCTGGGAAAAGAATGATACAAAGTCAGAGTTCTGGCATCTAAACTTGATGCTAAATAATATCCTTTTCTAAATGGAATTTCTTTTATGAATTGAGAAATTCTGATCTTTAGAGACTATATCCAGATTTTTTAAAACACAATTCAGTTTGTCCAAAAGGGTGCAGAAAGGGAGAAATTTCAGCTAATCTGTGCATTAACTTCACCTGAGTAAAACAAAAAAACTTCTGGTTACAAAAGAAAAGTGATATTAATTCTTGAAGCTGCTCTTCAACTGAGTACTACAAAGAAAGCAGCTAAAGCTAAACTATGATATTAAAAACTTTGAAATATTTTTTTCATGATCTAAATCAGAAAGCATAGTAAAAACATTGCTTTCCTGTTAAACTAGAAGCCTAAACTTCCTAGTTAGTACTTTTGTTTGGTTGGGTTGGTTATTTCAGCTTCCTAAAATGAACTGAAGAAAAAACCAGTGAGACAGGCCTGCTGTAAAGACAGCTTTGTACCACCATTAGAGCTTATGTATTTGTCATCAAAGTAATAATTAGTACACTTTCTTTAAAACCCTACTCAATAAGTAAGTGTTGAGTAGATTCAAAGAGTTCATGGCGCCATAAAAGTGCATCACATGCCTGAGAAACAGCCCACATGCAACAGAGCCTGAGAGTCAAAGGTGAAAATCCATGCAAAACAGAAAAGGCTAAAAAAAGAATATAATCATGTTTATCATTTCCCCTCAAACTGAAAAAAAAATAAATTAACACAAAGGGTGAATTACAGCCCTTGCTGAATTTTTTGCCATTTGCTTTTTGCATTTCTCCTAGATGGCTATATAAACAGCTACCCAAGGTTCTTTATAATTTTTTGGTCATGTTCACCATTGGATATCCATGTCTTAATTCAACACTACCAATCAGAACAGCATATGAATGGTGGTTGCTGCAGAACTTCATAGTTCAAGCATTTGTTGGGAACTAAACTTAAGCTATTAGTCTAACGCTAAAGTTAAATGTGTCTTGAATGTTTCCCTGTGATGTCAAAATCTCCAGTCTATGCTATTTTTGAAGGAACTGTACCTTCACTATAAGAATAAATAGGCAGATGTTCCCACCAATCCTTCCTCTCCTTTTGCTCTGGAGAACCAAGAAAGAAACGGCTGATCACATCAGAGCAGGCAGCAGCGTGTTTTCCAGAGAAGGGAGAAGCTGTGGCACAGGCAGCACTTCCATCACTGGGAGCCAATCATGTTCATTCCAGGGGAAAAAAAGAATTTCTGATGGCGTTATACCACAATTGCTTCAGATTGCTGATGTATAATCTGTTTAGTGCTACCGCAACTATGTAAAAAGTGACTGTATTGCTTATATGTGAGCATGTTACACCTGCCACCTTTTCTGTCAAGGTGCACTGCAGCATCTGACTGAATAGATTCCTCAACACTCTGGTAAGAAACATCTATTAGTGTTACTTTCCCTTATCACCCATGCTTCTGCGCATAATGGAAGCAGAAACATACTATATGAATACAGTACATGTCTCTCTACATTATATGGGTGCCTCAGATGTTACACATTCTAAAGGAAGGGGAAAAAAATAAAAAATTATGCATATTTTGTATTTCTGTATATATTCTACCCATGTACCCATCCAGACAGCTCATGCTTACTTATTTTCAGAAGGGCAACAAAATTGCAAATGCAAAAAACTTTATTAGCATAAAAAGTACATATTCAGTAATCACTACTCAAATTCCTTTACAGCATCTGCCATGTTTGTTTCTGTATCTGCTACAGTTGGAGGAAGAAGGGGTTGCAAGAGAGAGGTTGTTCATGGTGGTTTTTTGCCTGTGCCTTCTTAAGTTATGTAAACAATTCAGAGTGAAACCTGTACACACAGAATTTTTGTTATCATTTGTACACTTAAAAGTTAAATAAAAATCAGTTTCAGCAATACAAAATAACAATATAAAAAAAGTATTCAGATGCATGATGTGAATCAGAATAAAATGACAATGGCAAGTAAGTGAACATGGCTTCAAAGTTAGATCATACTGTAAGCTTGACATAAAAAACATTATAAAATTACTTGGTTCCATAGATATCTGTACAGTTGCACCTATTTTCACTTCATTAAACACAAATATACTAAAATAGACTGATTAAAAGGAATAAGAAAAGTTTTCTCAAGTTTAACACTTCAAGCTGCCTACTGATAGAGTAGCTAGACAGAGGTAGATGTCCAGTATTAGTGGCCAAGCTATTCTAGCAAGACCTTTTGGCTATTTGTCAAGTTTTTACACTCAAAACCAACATGAAAAGGCTTCATAGATGAAGAATGTCTTTCAAAAAAAACAGTTGGAAAACCTGCACTGCTGATGGAAGTAGTTTCAATTATACTGCTGAAAGCAAGGAGTACGTAAGAATAAGTCATTTACTAGACCACCGTAAGGACACCGCTGATCAAGCACTAGAGCTCATGCAGTCATTTTAAGAAAAGTTAAATTGATTTGTTAATTTCCTATACTTATTTTAGAAGCTGAACCATTGCTACCTATCTGCCTCGTAACTAGTCAAAATAAGATTGCAGGGTACCACGGCGGCGGATATCACATGTCCAGCAATGGAAACCACCTCCCAATGAATTGGCATGGCGAATATTCACTTTAATTGTAGAAATGCCTGCAAGAAACATATATTGCATATTTTAAAAGTAAAATCTCAAATTCATGCGGCAAGCTTTGATCAGAACATTAGATAATGCTTTATCAGATAATATGGCTAGATGCAAGTACAGAAAGTATTTCCTACTCATTTGTTAAGAATCAATTTTCCCGAATTCTAGGCAGAGAACAATCAGAGAATGTAGCTGGCCTGTTTATTCCAGTGACACCCTCAAGAATATATAGTGCCCAGAGCACAGACAGTGGTTGATGTATTATGGTATGCCAGTAATAAAAAGAAAAATCCAGTTTTTGCAGTATGTGAAGAATTAGCTGAAATTCTGCTACTATATAAGACCAGGGCACATTTACATATATCTGTGTGAGCATTTATAGTTCAGACACTGAATGTGGTCTTTCAAGGGCCTTTCAAGAAAAAGCATTCAAAGAGCTCCGAGTCCTTCTTTCTCTGAAAGGGGAAAGAGGCTGTCATACTTACTGCCTAGGCTAAGCTTTGTCCCACTTCTTTCCACATCTGGATCAGCTTATAGAAAGTCCTGACATACGGACGAGGATCAGAAGACTTTTCTGTTATGAAGTTTGCTTTTTTTTTTTGTACTTTCAGGAGCTCAGGAAGAGCTCAGTAGTAAGCAGTAGTTTTGTCCCCAGTAGACCCATCTCAGTACTAGGAACTTCCTAAATACAGGAGTTTATTTAGAACTCACACACACCCCGTGAAGTTCAGGTGTGAAAGCTATGTCATGATTAGCAGTAAGAGTAAGTTTTAAGTACTTTCAAGTGTTTATAAATCCTCAGCTCCTTGGTCATGCAGCAAATTAAAACAACATAAGACTCAAAAGCTAAGTAATTCACTAAAGGTTGTATAGGCAGTCTTCTAAGGCAGATTAAAGCATTAGATTGTACAGTTCTTACCTGCAATCATCTTAGATCTGAGGGAAGCTTCAATAAGTTTACTCACCTTCTTCTAGGTTCACAGCCACTATCTTTCACCTTTGAATCATTCTCTCCTTCCCATCATTTTTCTCCCTTTAAAGGAGTCTTCTGCTACTGGGGAGTACTATCTACTCTACAATACAACGATCCTCCACTTCCCTTGACTTCTCATTTACCCATTCTTCTTTCTACTCTGTCAACTTCTGCATCACCACGTACTTATCCTGCTGACAGCTGGCTGTAGCACCAAGCAATGTGGCCACCCTCCTACAAACAAACAATGAGCCACAAGTAGATCTACCTACACCTTTCTCTCCCAGCATGATGGAAGCAGTTGGATTTAATCCATGATTTCAGATTTTTAAGTCTATATTATTTATCTTTGTAGTGAGCTGTGCATACCAAGATTTTCAGATTTTGTATTCAATTAGTTCTCCTGCCACAGTAAAGCTAGAGGAATTCCACCCTGTCATGAAGTTACATCTCACAAGACTGAGGTTCTCCATAAATGAACAGAAATACCTGCATTAAGTAGTTTTAATTTGACAGTTTGAAGTACAGTGAGTCTGAAATTAGAAAAATCTGAAAGCCTTTTGGCAATGAGGGATAGTGAGCTCTACGCCACTCAGCAATATGTACACTCAGTTTCTTCAGGATAGATTTAGACCTCTAAACTGAACAGTTTTACATTAAAAAAGCTCATTCTCAAGCATGCTAGCAGTAACTTTAATTGCTACTCATACCTTTATTTGCTGCAAGCTGTAGGGGGCGACAAGAGGTAAAAAAGCCCACATTCGTGAGTGAAGTAAAGCATTTCATAGAATCACAGAATGGCCCAGGCTGGAAGGGACCTTAGAGATCATTTAATCCAACCTCCCTGTCATGGGCAGGCACGCCACCTCTCGACTAGACCAGGCAAAACAAGGGAGATGTCTGAAGACTCAAGAGAGAAATCAGTGAATGATTCTTACTTGCTAATCCAACTGTTTTGAGTACCTTTTCCAGTGCTGGCTTCTCTGACTACTTTAAGTGAAACCTGTGTTCATCCTGATGTGCACATCTGGTATCATGATCATTTCATTTCAAATATATGTTGAACTATTTTAGGACATACCCAGGTTTTCAAACATCTTCTGAATTGATGTCTCGTTGGCATCCACCATCACACGTTTCTCATCCAGCATTAGGACATTCATGGACAGCCATTTAGAAGACATCCACAGGGGGTGATCTAAACACATGAGAATGAACCTTCTACTGTACCAGTGTTGCCCCACAGTAATACTCTTAAGAACACTTTTGGAATTCTTAGAAAAGAAAGAGTGAATATACCATCTGGGATGAGTGGCACTGGGGGGCGAATCACAGTCCAGCCTGCTTTCTTGAAGAGCTCAATCTGAAAAAGAAATTTAATTAAATTCTAAACAGAGTTCCTAGAGGATCACATTATGTCCTCCAACCTATGGCACATTTTCTCAGGCTCCCTTCAATATATGTGACATCCTCTTCCCTTTGTTTCACTACTCCTGTCCTCATTCAAGTTCCATCTACAAACAGTTCTCATACAAACATTCTTTGAAAGCATACTTTGTATACTGCTAGCAGTAGTTCAGTTTATACATGCTAGGTATAAGACATGCTAAAGACGAAAGGTAACACACAGTTTCGTGCCTGTGAAGTAAAGGTATTAGTAACAGCATAAAACTACTGAATTCTTCATTTTTGCATTATTTCTTCCCACATGACTATAAAATCCATTGATATGAATTATCAATGATTTTATTATTGATACACCATTTATAGAAACAAAACCACCACATAATTATGTTTGCATCATGTGTCAGAAGAAACATAACATGCAGTTTATTTAATGAAGGTAAAAAAATAAAGACATCCTAGGGAATCATTTATATCTCTATGAAGTACATAATTAAGTTAAAAATAACAGAAAGATAACCTGGCCAAGGAGAATTGACTTCTCAACTTCATTGTCTGAATGCTTGGAAGAGCTTTTTATTCAAGTGTTACCACGAGGTGGAGCTCCCATTCTAAAAACTCAATAACCAGCTCGGCCTGCTAGATCAAATTTTAAAGAAAAGCCCTCTCTCACCCGCCCATTTCCCCGTCATTCACAATTGTCAAATCAATTTATGAAAGAAAGCTGCATCTAGCTTTTCTATCTACACAGACAGTAGTTTTCCACGAAAAAAGTCCCAGCACACGTGTTTAACAAAAGGAGACCAAGAGCCTCCTCCTGCAAGTAAGATTATTAAAAAACAGGGGCAGTGAAAAGGGGCGGAAAAGACTACGATTGTTTAGAAAGTTGTATTCTCATAATGGATATTACAAAGGGCAGTGATTTAATGGGACAATTTGCACTGAAGCCACTTGCTGAGCAGAGCCTAATACTGCTTTCAAAAGTTATGCTGTGCACATGGTTCCATAACCTCTGCTGCACACAGCTCTACCCCACCGATTCAGTCCCGGCTCAGCTGTTCCCATGTGGCTGTACAGCTTCCGAAATCACGGGGGTCCTCACAAAAATCCTCAGGCACTGACAGTACAGGTAACATGTCCGCAACAGAGATGAGCTCCTACTCTCTGGAAGGGTTTCTGATCTGATATCACTGGTTAGCTCTATTAACTTTTTCCTCAGAGGGAAGCAGTAGAACCATGTCTTTCCTCTTTTCTACTCTTCCCAAAAAAAAAAAACCCAAACAATATTTCTCATTCAGTTATTCAAAGCTGAATGCCTGAGCAGTTACAGCCTCCTGTCACTGGTACAGTTAACACCAAAGGAAAGGCTTCCAAAATAGGAATAAAAAGGGAGATTATTCATCTGATCAGCAAAACCCCCTCAATTTATCCTTGGATGCACTTACTATATTAAGTAGAAGTGGTCAGAGACACAGTATACTCTATGTATTTGCTTTGATACTATGTTATTAGAAAACAGATCTCTTCCATCATATTTAAGCTATGTACACAGGAGGAAACACGCAACATATCCACCCAGCCTCACAATAAGAAAGCACAAAGAGCAGTAGCAGAAAACTGACGGAGAGCAATGGTAATGGCATTGCTGAGAAAGTTCTAGAGTCAAGATACGAATACATCTCTAAATTCCCAAACAATCATCTGAATGCTATTTAAATTCAAGAATTTTATATTATTCAAATCTACACAAAAATAAGCTTGTGTGGATCAGCAGCTATTCAGCAGGGATCTAATCCAGCTGTATCATTTTTAAAACACAAAACATTTTCTCCTCTCCACATGCTTACCTGATGGCAGGGCCGGTCTGGGTTAGAGAGCACCAGACCAGGTCCAATGATATTAAAAGTTGCATCAATGTGCATAGGGTTAGGATCCTTAAAGGAAATTATATGGACCCTATAGTCTGGTGCCAGATGACGCCTCATCCATTCAATGCCCATGTAATTTGTAACCTGAAAACAGGACAAAGTAAGTTTTACAAGGCTAGAACATAAACTGCATTCAAGTTTAGTTTAAGGTTTTATTTCAATAAATATTTAAAGCTAAAATAAAAGAAGTTCGTGACTTTAGCTAACCCCTGAACTGTAAGGCAGTCTCATGCTGTATATCAGACATTCTGCAACTAGCAACTTCTTGTGTTAACATTCTTATTTTAGTGCTGTTAAGGAATTTAAAAATACATAAATACAAGTATCAATTGTTAAGATACCAAAACCATTGGAAGAAACCTTTGTTTACCTGGCTCCTTTGTACAAAGATATCTCTTCCAGCTCTAATGAAGTCAGCAGCATCAAAGCATGGCTCAAATTCAGTAGTTACAAATTTTCCCTGAGCAGCCAATTTATGTCTGTCTTCAACAGAGCGGATTGGATAGTCCTAGTTATTAAAAAAGGAGTAATAACTTTAGGTTGTTTATATTGATAGCAAAAAAAAAAAAAAAGAAAAAAAAAAGGAAGCATAAACGTGGAAGTTTAAGTAAAAGATTTCAAGTATGTTCAAGAATAGATGATAATAGACAATAATAAAATAGATGATAATATTTATACCAAGAAGTTAATTGCTCTTCAGAGCCACTGTCTCTAGAATATTTTGGTTTCTGGGTCAAAAGCTTTCATTACCAGTGAAGTTTAACTCTCAGCCCAACAAATCATGGCACAGTGGTAGAAATACTGGTAAGAAAGCTATTTCCTAACAAAGGTGGACTCCCTACTTTTCTCACATTTTAGGATGGAGCAGTACTTCAAACTAGAAGGTGGATCTTTTGGAATTTGAATAGATTTTAGAATGAGACAATGCAATAAGAAAAACTGAGGTGTACAAAGCCAAAACAAGAACTACTGGATAAGTAGTTTCTATGCTTTAGAACAGTCTCTGGAAGTTTTCTGATACTGACAGATTATTCTAAGGTAGGTTTGATCAACAAAGACTTCTTTTTATCACTGATGTCACCTATTGTAGATGTTCCAACACTCAATGTTCTAATGCATTTGAGAAACTACTAAAATTATCTGTGTCAAAATTATTACAAAAGAAAAATTTAAGAAAATATTCACTTAAACATTTGGAAGGTAAATACTCACAATTTAGATTCTCCGTTATTTTTCTGTAACTTCCAAAATACTAATCATCATGCAAAACAGGAATTATAAGGGTTTTTTTCTGTGACAAAATACATATTCTGTCTCAGTTTCCTGACACGCGCAGGACATATGGACATTCTCTGGGAATCTTAACACTTTAATCTTCACTGATATCTTTCTAGCACTCCCTCCTCTTTAGTAATGCCAAGTTACAGCCAGTAATCAAAACAATCCAGACTCCAATTTAATAGACACAGTGTCCTGTTTCTTATTCACTAACTGCACTCACCCAGTTTCAGCTGGAAAGGCTACAGAATATTTGTACACATTGGGGAAAAAAACCCACAGATTTCCAGAGCTATTTTGTACTGTCCATCTGTCTGACCTCTCCATCAAATTTTGTGAAATCTAGATATTGGGTTGAAACTATTAACAAAATTCTGTATAATCAGAATTGAAGTTTTGAAGCAAAATGAGAACAATACCTGATCATAGAGGTCATCTGCCATTGTGGGTTTAGGGGCAGTTGTCCACTTAGCACCACAATTGAAATAATCTTTGATTATTCGTCTATATGCTCTGTACTCAAAGAAACGAGCACGCCAAGCCATAGGAGCTTCAATAATTTCATTTCCCACTACCAACAGGATGTCTCTTGGCATAGCAGCATACATACCTAAAAGGAAAAAGGCCATTAACTTTCACTCTCCCTTTTACCATTACTTCCATCCAAAAGAATTGCAAAAAAAAAAGCATCTTTAGCAGTGAAGAAGCGAATACGTAATTTGAGGTCCTTACATTCTTCAATAAGTTTTCAAAGGGACATTTTTTTGTTCAAAATACATTCAACTTTTCCTACAAAGTCTCAGTTACACAAGTTTACAGCTAGATGAAAGCCATCCACAATCTACAAGCCTCTACTTCATAATTTGGTTAATGGAAATTAACTATACAAATGCTTATGAATTATTCACATGACTTTAAAAGGTGATGAAGGGTAGCAAGTTTTCCAAGTAGACCTCATTTCTTTATATGCCATCCTCTTGAAAAGCAATAGCACAAAAGAGGACTTTGATGGAACACAGAACTAGTGCAGGAATTAGTCCCATTGGACTTTTCATTAACATTATCTGTTCACTAGTAAATTTAAATTCCACTAGAATACATTGACATGAAAGGATCCTGGAGACTGCACCTGATGCAAAGCTGAGTGTAAGTCAGTTGTGTTCTCACTGCAAATAACCAAAGCCATATGGTAATATACAAGGAGGAATGTGGCCAGTAGGTAAAGAGAGATTAAAATTTCCTTGACACTGGTGAGGATTCTCCTAGATAACCATTTCCAGTTTTGGCCTCCATAGCTTAAGATGAATTGAACTCTAGGACCCAATAAAGGGCTCTCTGGACAGTCAGAGGGGCCTGACAGCACAAGTCCTGGGAGAAGTAGAGTTTATTTCATGTGGCAAATAAGAGATGAAGAGGTAACTGCAAACAGCTATTTTCAAGGCCATTAAACATTACAGTGGCAGTGACACAGCAAGGGAATCTAGCAACAGATGCTGGTGCAGGAAGTTCAGGTTAGGTATTAGGGAAATGTCTTTCATTAGGAAATCCACAGAGCATTGAAACAGGTCAGCAAATGACGTGACAGAATCTCCATCCCTGGAGATTTTCCAAGTCATAGCTACACAAAGCCATCACTGACCTCATCTAGCACTGGCAATAAACTTGCCCGAAGCAACAAAGTAGACTAGATGACATTCAAAAAGTCTCTAGCAAGAGCTAAAAGAACAAGGTCAACAATGGAAGAGCATTTACCTGTAGACTCAAAATCAGGTGTTTTATACTTCACGGACCAGTCAATTGGATCAGGCCTCTTCACAATTACACCTTCTCTTTTCAAAATATTGCACATCTCCTCAATTTCAGCAATAGCTTTTTTAACATGGTCTTTGGGGAAGCTCTGGCCTCCGAATTTCTGATAAAAATCCCAATACTTTTCATATGTGTTGGCCTAAAACAAAAGGACAGATAAGTGACAAAGAAAAAGCATCAGTTATTTTGGTAGAGTGAAACGGATGCATAAAACAATTCTTAATGTTCAAAATTTCTTGTTCTTCTTTTACTGACTTTCCATTGTTTTGTATGTGTTACGATGTTAGTATGTTTTAGTGGTAGTGCGTCTTATATTTGATTCCTGCAAAATTTTGAAGAGTTGCTAACAAGTGTCCTGCTGATTCTTCTAAAATAAAGGGGCAAAAGATTGGAGGGGAAAGGGGGAACAAAGGGAGAAGTGTCATTGCTAGTACTGTCAGTGAAGCCCTGAGCAGGCAACGCCATTCGTCTGAAGGCATACCTGATCTCCTTTAACAATCCAGGCTACCTACTCAGCTCTCTACTATTTCTGGACATTTACCCTTATGCTAGAGAAGAAAGGGAAAATTCAACATTTTCGATGTCTTTAATACTTACATAGAATGCTCAGGCAAAGGTCTCAGCATAGCCATCCTGCTCCTCCTATACTGAAGCTTCTTCCCATCCTTCCTGAAGGATTTTTTTATTATTTTTTTCCCCTCTAAGGTCTTGGGTAATTTGATTACCTCAGACTTGCCAGCTGTTCAGGAGTCACATGCAGATCATATGAAGTGCCAAGCATGCCTATGGAAATCTATTCTGCTATTGAGACAAATTTGTCCTAAGAAGAAAAGCTAGTTATTCTTAGAGCCACCCGTGATGTACATGAATATCACTAACTCCTAAGAGGTACAGCACCCCTCTTCACCAGGTGTCCTCTAGTATTGCTCTCTTTTAAACAAGAGCAATGACACTTGTGTTACACCAATATGATGGCATAATCCTAAAGTTTTGACAGCATAAGGGTTAACACTGTAATACCACCTATATTCCCTGCTTTCTGAATAACTGGGAAAAGGGCATATGACTGGGACATTTATTTCACACCAATTCAGGATTGAGATTTCAAGCCCCTTTGGTCATATACATACAACTCAGTTCAGACTGTTCACAAAGTACTATGGTCAGGACACAAAAAGAGGTTTAAATAATCTCTTCAATGCACCTTATATCCTCCTGTCAAAGAGTACCTGAGAAACTGTAGCAGCATTTAGGAAAAACCTCTTTCTTTTCCAAGAGAAATTAGAGTGTGCTGTGAGGAAAAGATTGTCTTTAAGAAAGAATTACTCCCTGTAGTTGCTACATATTTTAAACATTTGTTGTGGAAAATAATATTATCCACGTTAACATTGTCAAGATGTTCCTTAAAGCTAGTAATGACAGTTATTAAATTTAGTACATTGAAACAGAAATTCAAATCAAAATGCTTTTTGCCTAATTCAGTAGTAAGCACACCCCACAGCCCCCCAGTTTCTCACTCGAGGTATCTGTGGTAATAATAACTCATCACCAAAAATTATTATTAATAAGAAAATACTGAAAACATTGCAGAGTACAAAGCTATAAAGTTCAACTGTTTGACTGTGTCAACTGCTTCAGAAGAATACATCTAAACTGTGAGATTTTTCTGTCCAAAGTGCTAATTCAATAAAAGGCATCTTCCTAATTAATGCAGTTGTTAACCTCCTAGTTAAGATTTCCCATGTTTCCCAATAGTGTATTTATTTCTACATAACTTACATAGCCCATTTCAAGGTCCCAAAAGGGTATGCAAAAAAAGTGTCAGCTTATAACTATTCATCAGATATGCAGGGATCCCTAATTCAGTTCAGTCCTTCCTCCTTATTATGCCAAGCACATCACTCTCACACCATGGCAAAGACATGCGTATACCCACATCATGTCTCAAAGTGAAAGACAGTGCTGAATGGTGTGACACAAGGTTACGTTCTCGCACCAACTCTATTCACAGTCTTCTTCAGCATGATGCTCCAAAGGGCCACAGCAGACCTCAGTGAATATACTGGCATTTACATCCGTTATGGTACCAACGGTAACCTATTCAACCTAAGGCGACTGAAGGTCCACACCAAGAAAGTAAATCACCTTGTCTGCGAGCTGCTTTTTGCTGACGATGCCGCCCGTGTTGCTCACACAGAAGCACCTCTGCAGCGCT